GATTGAACCACGGTCCCTGTGCTTTGCTAAGCTTGTATCTAAGTAGGTGCTTTAGACCACTGAGCCATCTCACCAGCCCCTATCTTGGTCTAAACCATCCAGCAAAAAGTATAAAAACGAGGTATGAAAAGTAAAGTCATATTGATATGCTGAGCTGTAAAAGGCTCAAGTCAACAACTTCTGACATTGCCAGTCCTGTGGATAACCCACTACTATTATGGACTACTGGACTATATTAGATTATTTTGCTGAATTTACACACCTGCAATATTTAAATGGCAATGGAATACCCATCTCTAACAAAGCTAAACAGAAAAAGGGGGTACGTATGAGGACCATTTTGTATCTGTATATACAAAATAGTTAGTGTAGATATACAGCTACTTTCTCTTAATTCAGTGAGAAGAAAGATTTGTAGTAATAGTGTTTGGACAGGATATCATGTCTGCATCTTGTACCGTGAATAGCCACTAAGAAGACAACAATATGCAATGAATTAATTATTGAAACTGTCCTACAAACTGGTTTTGAAACTGTCTCATTGCTGTTTGTTTCTCAATAAAATTAATTAAAAAATTGAGACTCCCTAAAAATTGTACATAATGCTTCTTATATCTGATGGCCAAAATTTAGTTATATGACCACAGCTATCTGCAGAGGAAGCAAAAGAATGTGGTCTTAGCTGGATGGCAATGTGTCCAATAACAAACCAACATTCTGTTATTAAAGAAAGACAGGGTATTGGGTGGGAACTAGTAGTCTCTAATTTCCTTCATCAAGAGGGAGCAAAAGTTTTCAGCTCAATTCAAAGAAATATTATGTTAGTACCCCTAGGCTGGTTCCTTGGGTAAGATGCAATATTTGTTGTAGATACTTATCTTTGCCATTTTTATCTAACAGTATTAGTTCTAGGCAGAGTAAATATTTATTAATCTGTTATTATCTAGATCTAGAATGTCTGATATGTGTGGAAGGTGATTGGATCATGGGGACACTGTATTCATCAGTGGATTCATTCATCAGTTCACTGGGGCATGAACTGAAAGGGTGTATTTCATCCCTGGCTCCTCCCTGCTCTCTGTTTGCTGGCTGCCATGTGAGCAGCTTTCCACCATCCTGCGTTCCGCCATGCTGTTTCTGTCTTTGATCCAGCCAACCATGGACTAAATTCACTGGGACCAAGAGCCAAAATAAACCTGTCTTCCTTTAAGTTTCAGGTGTCATATAATTTGCTTCAGTGATAGGAATGCTATTATAGCTACTAAGCCAATGAAAATTTCTAAAAATTTAATTTAAACCATAATACTCAATTTTAGTGTGATTGGCAGTGTATGCCTGGATGTGATAGACCTGGAATTGCTATATGTTTGCTGTATAAAGTGGCAGATATGAGAGAGTTCAGCAAAGGGTTAATAGACCATAAGTGCCCTTCTTTACCTCGCTCTCCTGTTCCTCCCTTCCTCATCAAGAGTCTGTTGAAATGTCTGCTACATAATTACTTTTCAATGCAATATATGGCTAATTTTTTTTTTTTAAACTCCCACTCCACATCACCCTTTCAGCCACTTGTTTTTACCTCTGTGTTTACAACTACATTTCACTTTTCAACCAATCCCAGGAACAGAGTTGTGTTTCCTCTGAAGGAAGTCAAACCTACAGTGGCTAGCCATTTGATGGAATGTTGTAGAAGAAATTCAAACATTTGTAGAGAGTGACTGGTCTTGAATTTTAAGTTCCCTTCTATTTCTTGAGATCCAATGTTCTGTGACTTATGTTGGGAGCAGAAAAGCTTATTTCCTCCAAAAATATTGATGGTTAATTCTTTTTTTTTTAAGAAAATCTTTATTTGGTACAGGGTCTTGATACCCAGCTTAGCTTGTAGTGATTCTCCTGCCTCAGCCTCCCCAGTGCTGGAATTACAGGCGTATGCCCCATACCCATTTTTGGTGGCTGACACTGCGCGGGGCCAACACCACGTGCAGTACCAGGGATCAAACCCAGGTCTGTGTTGTGCTTGTCAGGCAGGTGCTTAGACCGCTGTGCTTATCTCCCTGGCTCTGATGGTTAATTCCTTTTCACTATTTGTACTTTTGATATTGACAATTATGAAAACAAAGAGTTAACATATATTTTGAAATAATGAAAGATTTAATAGTGGATTCTAGTCTGTAGTTTTCT